GGGGGGGGGGGGGGGGGGGGGGGGGGGTGAAGGGGGAGAAAAGCAAACTTTTCCAAAATGAAGAAAAATGAGTCTGTTTGCAAACGGACGAGCGGTCGTTTTCACACTGACACCGTTTGTTTTGTGCTCCGCACGTAAAGCTGCTGCTTTAATTCTGATTGGAGCGAGACGTGGGGGGAATTCAATCTGGGGGGGGAGGGGTCAATCAAAGGGGGGGGAGTGGTCAATCAGAGGGGGGGCAACTGAAAAAAGAGGGGGGAGGTTAAAAACACCCAGAGACTGAAGGAAATAAGGAATAAATGCAAGTAGTCAGAAAAGAATTTAATCTAAAAAATGAGGCTGAACGTTGCTGAATAACCTTTGTTTGTTTATTTGTTTGTTTGTTTATTTGTTGTTTTGTTTGTCTGTTTTGTTTGTTTGTTGTTGTGCAGCTTCCACGCGCCGTCAACACTCAGGCTCTGAGCAGCGCTGGGATCCTGAGGATGGTCAACAAAGCTGCGGACGCCGTCAACAAGATGACCATCAAGATGAACGAGTCGGACGCCGTGAGTGGAGGAAGTGAAGGAAAAGGAAGTGAAGGAAAAGGAAGTGAAGGAAAAGGAAGTCAAGGAAAAGGAAGTGAAGGAGTGAGGCTGTAGGGAAGACAGGAAACAGCTGTGAGGAAAAAGAATGAAAGAAAGAAATGTTGAGTTTTAAAAAGAAAAGGAGAAACTGAAAAAACGAGGGACTTTGTGACTTCCTGAAAATCTGACATTTAGCATCAGTCACAAAAACGTGACAGAAGACGACGTGAAGGAACGTTTTAATCTGGAAACAGGAAACGGTCACCAAAGCAGAAAATCAATAGAAGTTAACAGATCAAAAAGTTAAAGACTTTAAATTAAAGATGAAAAAACTTTAAAGATTAAAAGTGACTATCTTCCTGTCTGCGTGACTGACTTCCTGCCTGCGTGGCTGACTTCCTACCTGCGTGGCTGACTTCCTGCCTGCGTGGCTGACTTCCTGTCTCTGTGGCTG